CTATAGAATTAAGATAACCGTATGGTAGACAAAATTTCCTCAGATGAAGAGACTTGATCAGCAGAAATGTAGTTCTACAGAAAGATGCTGAGAATACCATGGACTGAACAAGTGATCAATGAGGAAGTTATAGAGACAATAGCAACAAAAAGGAAACTTATACTTAACATTAGGAAGAGATAGTTGAAATTTCTAAGGCACATGAGGAAAGAGGGCTTAGAAAATTTGGTACTCACATGACATTGAAAGTAAGAGACAGAGGAAAGCCTGACAAGTTTGACACAATGTAGTATGCACATACATGCATTTATACTGATTGTTATTGGACACATGTAATTTTGTTTCCTTATCATCAACAGAGCAGACATACCTTACAAATTGGTTATTAAAAAAGGATTCTGATTTGCTAAAAGCGAGTGTTATTTAAATAAGCAAGGGTTCTTTAGCCAATCAGTAGTAATTTAAGGTAATGTGCAGATCGGTTGATTCTTTTTTCAATCAATGGCAGCCTAATAGAATAAAAATCCCAGAAGACAAGAGGAAAGGCAGAATTCTTCTTGAGGAGATTTGTGCTGTTAATACTTTGTCCAGAATGTTAGAGGATAGTGAGGATTTGTGACTGTGAATTTTTTTGTTTTTTTACAAATACTGTTATCCATATTATGTGGTATGTATAGATATAAGAGAGAAAAAAAAAAGAACTTCAGTCACAAATCCTCTGCCTTCCCTCTTGTCTTGTGGGATTTTTATTATATCAACCTGCCACTGATTGGCCCAAAATCCAGCCAATCCATGCCTTACATTAAACTACTACTGATTGGCTAAAGAACTGACCAATTAGCATAGGGAATCTGTTTTAAAAACAAGGCACTTTAACCTTCTACTTTTTCATTATTTTCCCTTCACATGGAACACTATCTGCCATCTGCAACTTCGAGGTAAGTGACCTTTGTTCTTGACTGTTGCACAAAATGCATGCAACCCTGGGTCTCTTTGTGCTCTGCAGAAGTTCACTACAGCAAGTTAAATCCTATATGACAGTCATAAGAATGTAAAAATAATTTCGTAGAAATATAACTCTTTGTTACACTTCTCTTCTCTAAGAATTTGAATTACTAAATTATCTTCTATCTCTCAGAATTTTGAATTATTGTCCATTACAAGTTCATACTGCATTGTGGCATTTGCACATAAAAATGCAAATCTTTACTTGATAAGGGAAATAGAATATAAACTTTCAATAAAGAAAATGTTTTTGTCTACAATTATATCATGTCAATTATTTTTGTACTGAACTGCTATGAAGTCTATTTTCTTTAATTAGCTCAATTTTACTCTACACTGCAAGCGCACTGGATACCAGAAAGGGTACAGCTACCCTTACCACTAAGAAATAAACTATTCCTTTTTTTTAATTTTATAAACCAATTTAAAAAAATTAAATATTTCACTAGCTAATGAGCTTGATTTTCCTTATATTAATTTGTTGTAACATTGTCTTTGATCAGAATAGCCGAGAATTAGGAAGGCTATAGTTAAAGTATCAAAGCAAGAGAAGGATTAGGTAAGCAGAAACAAAGAGGTTTATTAAATACTTATACATAGAATGAAATAACTTGAGTAAATCAATTACTACTCAAATCCTCTTTTAATGTGGTTACTTGGCATATTTATAAGTAGCAGCAGTCCATTGTCACAGAAACAGGGAAGTTGAGCTTTTCCCTTCAGGATCTGACAACTCAGACTTTGATGTCTTTGAGAATATTTAAATTTTCTTTTACTGCTGCTATTATTATTATTATTATTATTATTATTATTATGCCTATGTCTTGTTTTGTTTGTATTTTACTCCCTCATAATATATTTTGCAAAGTAGTTTTAGTTTAACAACTGACTGGGATGAATAAAAGTGATTGAAATTCCAGTTGGCTATATTCCATAATGTAGTGAGATCTAAGTATAATTATAATGAGAAATTCAAACAATGATGTTATCTCTTTGTCCTCTTTATGCAAAATTTACATAGATAAAATGCAATGTTTAATTCATTGTGCAAACACATGACATAAAATAAATTCATATGAAAAAAGATTTGTGAAAAGACTTTGCTCAATAATAGCATAACCCAGAGACACAGTAGAATGAAGTGCTGAAAAGTTCTCGACCTGACTAAGAAAGTATTCCAGAATAAATACTGATATTTAATCATTTGGTCATATTCTTGGGTCAGGCCAATAACACTTCAGTGCCCAGTTGTAATACGTCCATTAAATTAGTTGAGAGTGGAAGAACAATCATTTAATAGCAGCACTTGAGAGCAACATGCCTATCTCTGATATTTCATCTGGGATGGGTGTGGGCTAACAGGATTTATGATGTTTTAAACTTTATTATTTACACTATTTACATTGTTAAGACGGTTGTTCTCATCTTCGTTGTCATATTCACGACGTTTCAGCCATTGTACTGCCTTCTTCAGGTGATTCGAATTTGAACCCTTTATTTCGTCCACCAGGATAGATTGTTCTAATTCCACATGCCATGCCTCTTCCGGATGTCTCAGTATCAGTTATCTCACATCTTTATCTTAACTCTCCAAGTTTTTTGTTCCCCTCTGCTGTAGCCAGGTATTGAACTCACAATTCTTTGGGTCAAGTCACTGGATTCAACACAAGAGCCATGTGTCCTTGAGGACATCAGTGTATTAATTTTGAGGACTGATAAACCTAATGTCTCAGTAATTACATTCATGTACTAATATCTCAAACAGAAGTTGGGCTCACAACATCCATATACAGCAAACAAAAATTCACTGGACAATACCTTAACTTCAACTCCCACTAACCATACAGTGTAAAGAAAGGGATTGTCTGCTGCTTACAACATTGAACAAAAGTCATAAGTGGTGATCCAGAAACATATGGTCAGTATAAGTATAACAAGTACATGACAGCAGCTCTGACAAACTGGGATAGAAGGTTGCAAGAGGATAACAACACCCAGGAAACAGCCTCGGTCTGTCTACTTTATGTGAAGGAATTACCAGAAAAATACAAAAGATCTGTGGTCTATATAGCATAAGGACTTATTTCAAAAGTGGTTCAACACTTTGCAGACACTTCTTCTGAGTAAGATCTCCCATAGAGGAGGACATGATTAAGGACTGTGTATGCCATCCCATACAGCTGTGGTAACAATTACAAAGGGGAAACAGGCCTTCCCCTTATGATAAGACTGCAGAAACACTGTAAAGCCATAACACAGGGAGAAATAGAAAAATCAGGTGAAGCTGACTACATATGGAGAGAAAAGGGAGATCACTGCTTCCTATGTGATGAGGTTGAAATAATAGACAAAGAACATCACTGGAAAACACAAAAACTTAAGGAATCAGCACATATGCTAAGCCACAAAAATCTCCCAAGCCAGCCAAGCATAGGAATGAATACAATATGGGAACTAGTAATAAGGAGTGCTGGAGAAAAACAATAATAACAAAAATTGCAATATGAGCTCTGTTAAAAAAGATGACTGAGATATTGCATTTATAAATGCCCAAAATTCCTACATCTTTGTTGCCATATTCCCGACAATATCAAGCAAAATCTTAAGTGGCAACCCAGAGACATATGAACAAGAAATGGTCAGTATATGCAGTACCCTACAATATAACAACTACCCTAGGTACATAACAACAGCTCCAATAAACTGGGATAGAAAAGTACAAGAGGATAACAGCACTCAGAAAACAGCCTCGGTCTGCCTACCCTATGGGAAGGGATTATCGAAAAAAATACAAAAGATCTGTGGTCTATATAACATCAGGATGACCTTCAAAAGTGGTTCAATGCTTTGCAAACACTTTTTCTGAGTAAGACCTCCGAGCTAGTAACAGTCTCTACTCAGGTCAATGTGATAAAGAATGAATACTATTTGGCACTTTTCCCTTTCCTCATTTTCCAAAGTCTAATAGCAGCCGTACTGTCCTGAACCACATAAATAAACCAGAATAATTCCTTCAATTGTTTTTTTTTTTTTTTTTTTTTTTTGGGTCGTCTGCAATTTTTTGACAACAGGGATAATTTTTGATCATGCCAATTTATTTTAAATCCAGCCAAGAAATAGCACCCAAAATCTAATCAGGGATTGGACCAAGATGCAAAGCTTCAACCCTTTCATATGTAAAAAAAAAAATTCATTTAATTCTCTCTAACCTTCAGCTCCTCACTTGTTGATGGTACAGTTTCCTCTCACCAAATCTGGATTTCCTATCCTCTGTCTTTAGAATAAAAATGGCTTCCAATTAGTCACAATTTACAATTCTTTAAACTTGTTCCTCATCTTTATTGATATTAGTTGGAATTTAGTCCGCGGGGATAGATTGTTCTAATTCCACGTGCCATGTCTTTGGATGTCTTAGTTTCAGTTAATTCCCCTTGGTAATTTAACCCTTTTTGCTGTGGTCAGGTACTGAACTCACAACTCTTTGGTTCAAGTCACTTTTAGATCGCTCAACCAATGCTTTTATCCACTGGGCTATGTGTCCTTGGAGACAAATTCCAACTAATATCACCTGAAGAAGGCCAGAGCATACAATGGCCGACACGTTGTGAATATGGCAATAAACATGAGGACAACAGTCCAAACAATGTAAATAGTGTAAATATTTACAATACCTCATCTTAGAAATATAGACAGATGATGAGGAAGACAGAGCATACAACAGCTGAAATGTTGTGAATATGGCAACAAAGATGAAGACAATAGTCCAAACAATGTAAAAAGTGTAAATAATTACAATAACTCATCTCAAAAATATAGACGGATGTTCAATTATTCACAATTCAATATTCATATTATTCATTCCACAATCAGCCATATAAAAAGTATGTTTTATTGAAACAAATGAAAAAGAATGGAAAATACTTTATTATGACGATGATGATTTGGTAAGAATGAATAGAATTTTAGCGTTTCACTGGTTTTGTAGCAACCAATACAAGGACAGGTTTACACAACTCTATACTGTTAGCATCATCATCTGTTGAGGAAGTTGGCAGCTGCAGTTGAGGGCCGGAAGGGGTACATAAAACAAGTGAGATTTCCACAGGACAGGGTTCTGAATAATAAAACAGAAAATAAAGACAACTTAAAAATGACGTTCAAACCTGTTAGTAAGAAAAACATTAAGAGAAGAGCAAAGATTTTTATTCCAAATATAAAATATCCTTTTCATATAAGTATTGACTAAACCTAGTCTGACATAAAAGAACAACAGTCGCTTACTCAGAGGAGGACTGTGTTCAGTTTCCTGTCTTTTGAAATCAATATTTTGTTAATTCCTTACTATTATTAGGTTTTCACATGTCAATCTTTAAATATATTTTTCTAGTTATTATTGTTTTACACTTGTGTACCAAATATAATATAATATATATCTATGGCCATCCAGAATTGTCAGGGTGGTGGAAATCTTCCCATTTATAAAATAAACAGGGAATTTTTGACTCCTGGAACAAAATAATTGTACTGCAGAGAAAGTTATCTGAAAAATAATAAATATCCTGTAATAAGCAGCATGGACTGAGGAATCAGAGAGCCAGGCTTGAATTCCAGTCAAGTTTCTTACATTAACTTTTGCACAAATACTTTTAAGAAATGTATGAATTTGTTTCTTCACTCCCCCACCAGCTACAGACTTGGTCCTATAGCTTTGAATGGCAACCAGTCTATGAGGAGGACAACTCTGAATTCAAAATCCTCCAACTATGTGTTAAATAGCCTCACCAACCTGCAATTGGCCAAGCGTATTGAGTGCAGCTACATGTCTGAAGGCATGGTCAATCAGGGAGGGGTTCCTCTAACAGGATTTGGATTTGGAAGTCTCCTGTACTAAATAAGCAAAGTACCAGGAGAGACTTAAAAAATAACTGAATCCTGACAGCACTTGCATTTGGTTTGGTTTGGTTTATGTTGTCCTATGGCATAGCAAAACTTCAATGGGTTATTTAATGCTGACAAGATTTTTATGATAGATTCGTATTCACAGAATATGTATTCTTTATAAGAAATCAGTTTTTAGATCAAGTTTCATTGACATAGTTTTACAAAGAGGTTTTTTCAAGAGTCAAATGTATTACTGGTAATATTTTTTTCTTCCAAAATGTATTATTTACTATAAAAATCTATTATACTTTCATAGCGTTTTGACCCCAGTTTGTGGGTAATTATTTGCCTATAACTGGGACCCTAACAGGTGCTACCACCCCAGGTCAGGGTGGATCTTGGAACAACAGCAATTAAGAGGTGGTTCCATACTTCTGAAAGCCTCCTGATCAGAGGCCATGCTGCTGGATGTAGTTTATCATTATACCCAGGACACTTGTATTTGGTACAAAAGTTTACACAAACTCTTCAACAAACTCTCATTAAAAATATAAATAAATATATACCAAATACAAATACCATCTGGAATAGGTATGCCAATGAGAATTTATTTTAACTTATAAAATAAGCGGAGAATTTTTGATACCTCGAAGTAAATAATCATGCTGTGAAGAAAATTATTTACTGTACTTAAGAAGTACTTTGCTGAGGAAGAAAATAATTTAATCATGTCAACACTTGTATTTGGTACATAAAAGTAAGCTATATTTTTATCTCCACCCACATCCATAAAAACATTTTATAAAGTCAGCCACTGGCATAACAAAAACACCGCCACCTGTTCTTTTGGTTTTGCCAGTGCAAGGGAGATAACACTACAAATAATAATATTTTAGAGTCATCTCCCTTTAAACAAAAAAGTTACATACAAAAATTATACAAAGATATTTGGTATATTTCATATACAAGCATAGTACCTGAAAAAATAAATGAAAAATAAGATTATTTACATATGAATTGACACTTTCAATGAGAATCAGTGTTATCTGTGCACTTTGACTAGGATCAAAGAATTAACAAAAATATACTTTAGTTTTGATAAATTAAAAAAATAGATACACTCTGATATGACAATTGTTCCAGTATAATCAAAAGCAATCATTTTTTTTAATGAAATTAAAATGCTCCTTATATCTCCTATGACAATATCAGAATGAATATTTTGGCCAATCCCTTTAATATTTTGATATTTCTATTATTTTTGTATGTTATGCATTTATTTTTGATATTTAATAATGTTGTTTGGTGGTTGTTTTTAGAATCTTATCGGGTCATCAGTCAGCTGATTGAATCAATGATTGTGATTGGTCAGATTGAGTATAACCATTCTGATATTGAAAGAAACGCTTATTTCAACTGACTTTAAGGTAAGTTTTATATATATATATATATATATATAGCCACCAACAGCTTATGTGTTCCACATAACAAAACACTGCTCATTCCACGACTGATATCTTTAAGATCACCTCAGACATTATAGAACTCGTATATAGAATCTATTGCTAAAGATGTTGCAAAAATGATGCTTCCCTGTATTGCTCCAGTAAGTACCTGACTTTTCCCAATATACTCTACCTTTACAAGTTCTAGTAATTAATCCATGGCTGGGTGGGGGAGAAGAGGTGGATTCATACCTTTCCCAAAGGTAATTGCATTTAAGTGAATACAAGAAACCTGACTGGAATTAGAACTCGGCTCACTGATCTACAATTCTGGACATTATCCATTACATCATCTACACATGCAAGCTTACAGCACCTAATATCCCCAAATGGTGACTCATCTAGGTACTGACCAGGCTTGATGTTGCTTAATTTTGGTGATCATACAAAAACCAGTATTTCAACATATATCCATAAGCCACGCAAAATTATATCTGCTACAAAATCTGAACAAAAAATATGATGTGGAGAAAACTGGATAAGGAAGAATGTAGCTATATGACTAAATCTGAACTTCACCTACTAATGGATCTTTGTGGTCAAAATTAATAAAGTGGCATTGATTGTCATCCAGGTTGGCAAGGATTCAAATCTTATCGCAGGTGACTTTAATGTTTTCTGATACATACTAATTACTTAAAAAGTAACAAAAATAAAAATGAAGAAAAACTTGTTTTATGGTATATCAACTATTTGTAGGTTATTTAATGCAGGGACATATTAAAAATTTTTTTTTGGGGGGGGAGGTAATCAGTATCCCCCCCAAGTAAGGCAGTACAGCCACCAAAACGAAAGGGGTTACAGGGTGTGGAGGAAATAGGAATAGAAAAATTAGTAATGAGCAGAAAGAGAAAAGAGTAATCAGGGAGACAGTAGATAGTGATTGACATTGCATTTAAATTTTTGCAGATTAGAGTTGGCTGGAAAGCATGGAACCAGAAGGGGCTTCCACAAGTGAAAAGTGTGAGAAAAGAAACTGTTAACATAGAACTTATGGCTACATCAAGCCAGTTTAACTTTAAATTGATGAGATCTCACCACCAGTCTAGTATTGTGCTTAAATTCATAAAGTCTAGTCTCCATAGCAAAGAGCTCATCTGAACAATTACCATGAAAGAATTCATAGAAAAGACAGAGAGGCAACCTTATGATGGTGGGTAAGTGTCTGAAGCTGAGCTGCCAGATCAGGACCAATAATATTGCTGATTCTTCTTTGGATCTTATCAAGGAGCTCCAGGTAAATAACAGGGGCACCAGACCATATATGGTGGCAATAATCTAAGCACGGATGAATGGTTGACTTCTAGATATGCAAGATTTGTCTCACACGACACAGTGAACAGTCTTTCTTAGCAGCTGACCTAGCAATGGATTCAATAGTCTTTCCACTTCATGTCAGCTGAGAATGTTAGTTCAAGAAGGCACAATGAGCCACTTTCCTGATGGAAGGCAAGTGAGGGGTCTCTCAAATGGAGAAAAGTTAATAAATTTTCCTGCCTTTAATTTTATCATTAAGATTTTGTTTCATTTCTTTTTATTTAAGGTTTAAAATTTTAAGATTCAATTTTTTTTCTATAGATAAAAAATTTCCAATGTTATGTTTTAAACATTTGGTTTGGTTTATTTTCCTTTATGGCATATCAACCTGAGTGGGTTATTTAATGCCAACAAGATTTATAGGATAGGTTTGTATGAATAGAATATGTATTCATTGCTGGTAATACTTTTTTCCAAAAATGTATTAGTTATATTTACTATAAAAACCTATTGTTTTGGCCCCAGTTTGGAGGTTAACTATTTGCCTATACCTGGGACTTTAACAGGTGCTACCACCCCAGGTCAAGTTGGACTTAGGAACAACAGCAATTAAGAGGTGGTTTTTAAACATTTGATAAATATGTAAGTTTCAATTTTTTCTCTCTCTCACTATATATATATATATATATATATATATATATATGTATATATATATATATATATATATATATATATATATATATATAGAGAGAGAGAGAGAGAGAGAGAGAGAGAGAGATTTTTTAAAGCTCAGCCTCTTTTAAAAATTGTAAACTGCTACTTAGTTTGACATTATCAAAAAGCTCCTAGTTCTATATTTTTCCCATTCTCTCATTTACGTATATCTTTTCCAGATATGTCATACATATTGGAGGTTCCTTATTTTTTAGTATCTATGAATGAGTAATAGAGGTGTTGGTTTCTTTTGGTTTACAACATACCAACCTCAATGGGTTATTTAATGCCAACAAAATTTTTATTGTTGGTAATATTTTTTTTTTTTTTTAAATCTCTTTCTGGTAAAATTTTCCCTTCAGAAATTCTATTTCTGGAAATAATTTTCTTTCAAATATGTATTGCTGGTAATATTTTTTTCTTTTTTTTCCAAAAATGTATAGCTGGTAATATATATTTTTCTCTTTTTTTTTCTCAAAAATATATAGCTGGTAATATTTGTTTTTCAAAAATGCATTGCTGGCAACATTTGGTTTTCAAAAATGTATTGCTGATAATTTCTTACAAAGTATTTCTGGTATTAAAAACCTATTTTTACACTTTCAAAGTGTTTTGACCCCAATTACAATTCCATTGAATAAGGTTTTGCATCTTGATTATTTATTACAAATTATGAATTTTTACATGTCCAATTTTTTTTTTTTTATATGGGTGAAGTGTCTATCATTTCTATATACTTCAGACTATTAGCATTTTGTTTCTTGCTGTTTTGTTCTTTGAACTTGTTTCAACTTTCTTGTTTGATTTTGCTCCTTTAGTTTTACCATTTGGTTCTTTTAATGAACTTTGTCTAGATGATGATCTTTCCCTTGTTTGTGATGGGATAGAGTTCTGTTCCTCTATGTCCATTAGTAAAAGAGGTGTGTCCACCATGGAGTCTAGTGACAGCTACCACTTCTCTTACTTTTCTATAGCCCAAAGTTCATTGTCTAATGTTGGGTTTAATACTAAATAACATATTTTTTTAGAAAAGAGTTCCACATCTCTTGCCACTTTCGCAAAATGTATTTATTAATGGTTTGCTTCAAATCTGTGTATGCTATTTTGTTTATTCAAGGGTTCACTACTAATGACACTGGCTGCTTTATCAGGTACCCCATTGACATGGATAACAATATGGCCTGGTATGCAACAGAAGATATCTTTATTTTTTAACATTATGCTAATTCTATTTAATATTTCTACACATTCTAATATTTTTTAGAACCAGAAAGCAATTCTCCAATGTAAAAAGGAAGAAAGACTTGTCAAAAAATTAATGAGAAATTTAGACAACCTGTTACAATTAACATTTGACTATTCAAATGAAACAAAGAGTTTAAAAAAGTTTTTCATCTAAATCAAACATATTGAATAGTAATAAAGATTCATTGCAATGAGATTTGTTGCATCAAAGAAAGCAACTTCCAGCATTACTGAGGTTAATTGGTCCACTCATAAAAAATAAGAAAAAATTTAGTGGGGTGGGGTTTTTATAAATTAACATTCATTAGACCTTCCTCTAAGCCTGACATTTGTCAGAATCAAGAAATATTGATTTTTTTTTATCATTTTAGAACTGAGTTCATAATATTAATACAGTGTCAAATCAATAACTGACTTTTTAAAGAGTTATTTGTACTTTGTTTTTATTTACAAATGTCAAGTTTTAAACTGTCAATTGATAACTTCGACAAAATTCAAAATGCTCTGTAATGTAATCGATCCTGACCCAGCATCTTGACTTCAGTCATTTTGTCACCAATGTGACGTAGCTTTCTTGTATCTTTTCTACAAATATTTTCATGGCAACTGTTCTGATGAGCTTTTTATTTAAGCATGCTACTAGATTGGCAACTAGGTCTCACCATTTTACCAGTGAACTAGCTAGATGCAACCACCACTTCTATTCTAACAGTTTCTTTTCTCACACTTCTTACCTGTGAAACTCCCTTCCAATTTCTTACTTCAATCACATATAATCTTCAAAAACCTAAATGCAACGTCAATCGCCATATTCTGTCTTCCTGAACTCTGTTCCTTTGTCTTTTCCTCATCAAAGTCTTCACATTCTGTTTCTCTTTACTCCCTGTAAACCCCTGTGTCCTAGTGGCATTATCGCCTTGCTTGGGGTGAAACAATTCAAAAAATAAAAAAATACATACTATTGTTGTTCTTTTTCCCAATTCAAGATTTTCCTCATTTTTTAAATGAACTTATTCTTAAAAAATTTTTTAATTAATTTTATTTTTGTTACACAAACAATTGACTGTTTATAATATTTTCTTAAAATAAATCACATAAAAATAAAAATGTATATATTTCTTTGTTCTTTTTTTTTAAAATAAATCTTTGTAACAAACATAAATAAACAAAAAAATCTGTTCCTCCAATTACTTTAAAAAAAGAGGAAAAGATCAAGAAAAAAAATAAAGAAAAAAAAAGATAAAATGAGACAAGGGAAAGTTGACTTACCAGACCAGAGCCAATGAGAGAGAACTACTTCTGTGAGCAGATGGGAACGCAGAGGACCTAACTTTCGGAAATCATTTAGTCTTGGTCTGATGAGTTGTACATGCAAATCTGGATACTTCACCTAAATTGAAAGGAAAAAGCAAAAAAAATAGTTCTTCTGGAGATTACTACGTTCCTGAAGTGAAAACCTTAAAAAAAAAATTTACAAATCAAATACAACATCTACTAGCATATGACCTTTACTTTTAATTAGTCAAGGAATATTTGGGGGAAAACTAATAACTGATGATAGATCCATACTTATATACTGTTTTTTTGTTTATTTCTATATTATTTTGATTTGTAATTCAAGCATTTATATACAGATATATTTTATTCTAGCTTCACCAGGGAACTATTGTGTCAAATAGGACTTTTTTACTTTTAAATATTACTTGGATTCATAATCATCTCAACAACCATTTACTCCTGTCTCAATAATTGACTTGGCTAGATGTAACTATAAGTTCTATGCTAACAGTTTCTTTTCTCGCTTATGGAACTCTCTTCAGGCTCCATACTTTCTAGCCAATTCGAGCTCCAAAAATTATTTGCCAGTTTTAACAAGAAGTCATTAGAGGATGCTGTTAAGCACCTATAAAAATTGGACACTGACTGTCTTCATCCTCTTGTTTCACCTTTCCTTTTAGCATATGGTAGAAGTGACAATGCCAACTGGGACCTTCTATCATACATATAGATATTTTAAGACATTTTTATGTTTATACATTCTTTTTTATAGATACAAATATTTAAGTAAATGCTCTGTTTATAATAAACAGTATTAAACAACATTTACCGGCCTGAATGTCAGAGAAATTGTCATAGAAAATATGCATTCTCCAACAGGAATTGAACCTATATGGAACCGTCATATAGCCTGATGTGCTTTTACCGATTTCACCACAGAGGAGCGTTCGGTTAGCAAAGTTGAATTTACTGTCTTTAAACTACAATCCTCCATGATTTTCTCTCATACATTCATATCTGCTCGATGCGTATCCAAATGTAAACAAATGACGTCACACATTATGAAATGGACAAAGTCCAACAATTATTTTAAGACATTTTTATGTTTATACATTCTTTTTTATAGATACAAATATTTAAGTAAATGCTCTAAAAGTGAAAAGTGTTAGATTGATATTCATTTCCTACTTGTTCTTTATTTTATCATTTTGTCAGTTTCATATCCATATCTGATGTACATTTGATCTTCAACTCATATATGTGCAACATTTTCCTCAAGATGCACTGACATTGCACTTATCGTAGAGTAGAAACTATATAAATATACACTAACTCAAATGCAATCAAGGGTAGAAAAGGTTTTCCCAAGACAAGAATTATTTTTTTCTTTTTATGTTTAGGTCTTACACAGAGGGCAATGCTTCTCATTTTAATATAAAAATTTACAAATTCATTGTATGTGCTTACAACATCTTGTTATCAATAAAAAAAAAATCTCTTGGTTGGGTAAAGGCAGTACATATTTCCTATACTATGAGTTCATCTGCATAAATTATTGCAGTTGTTCTTAGGAGTTAGTATTTTCTTCACTAAAACAATTCTTCATATACAAATTAAGTTATATCAATGGGTCTACAAAATAACTTACTGAGAAAGGTTTCCATTTCAGGTGTATTTTTCAATTCAAAATTATTATCTAAAATCTTTTTCTCTGTAAATATCAACATAAACAGTTTTAATCTTTGTTGTAACAATTACAATGTTTCAGTCACTGTTTCCTCCAGCCTTTTTCAGACATCTATCAATTTGGTTAACCTTGAATAAAGGGTTCTGGCTGAAATTCTCTGATAGTTACTCAGATCAAAAGACACCTGAAGTAGGCTGGAGGACACAATGGCTGAAATATTGCGATTATAACAACAAAGATGAGGACATTAGCTCAAGTTTAAATAATGTAAACGATGATAGCTCCTTATCTGAGAAATTCAAAAAGAAATATTTTCAAATAAGTAGTTTAATACAATTTATTAGGTTTGTTTTCTTTAATTCTTTCTTCTAAAAAATATTCCTTAAATTTAGAGAAACATTTTTCCAGGTTGGATCAATGGCTGATGTCTAGTCTGAGATCACAATATCTTGTAAAAAAAAAAAACATAATATCTTACAAAAAATAATAATATCTTGTAAATAAAAAAAATAATAATAATATCATGCAAAAAAATATCTTGTAAAAAAAAAATATCTTGAAAAAAAAAAATAATAATAATATTTACCCTGACTCTGATTTGAAATATATCTTGTACATTTTCCAGATTTGCATCCAAAAAGAGAGATGTACTCAGTCCTGACATGAACTTGATTGGGTTGTCCGATGTGCCAGTTGGTTCATGAATGAAGGCTTGTACTTTGCGCACTTGATTAGAAACAGTGAGAGGTAATGGGCGAATGCGGAACATGAGGGCCTGGATTAATTTACACATCACAGTTGGTTTTGTCTCTTCAACATTGGCCAATGAAGAAAATAATTCACTCACAAAACCATCAGGTTCCAATTCATTAGCAGTCAAAAACCTACAACATGAAAAGACACTCTAGTAGAGAATTGTGGGTCATTCTTAATCAAAGTCTCATCAAGAGAGAATTTAAATTTCTTGGAGATACAAGAATTAAGAACAGTCATGAAAAAATAGACATGTTGAAAATTTCTGTTAAAAATAAAAGAAAAAAGGTGGTCTAAGTCCTGATTTTTTTTCTGTTTTCAATAGAAATTTTTAATATTTCTGCTTCTTCATGCTGGATTTAAGAATATAAAAGTCTACTTTTAAACTGTTTTACCTTTTTTTCTTTTTAATTTTGGTTATGTTTCCACATTCAAAAAATTATCAACGATCCTTTGTTGAGAGTTGATCAAAAACCTGGTTGTTTAAGAGACATTATGTCACCTGCTTCTTTTGACATTAAATTTCAACATGTCTCTGCTTCTTCGAGCTATTATTTACTGTATATACTTGTGGATAGGTTGCACCTCTATTTTATGGCTTTAATAATTAATGATTTACTGTTGACTCATAGATAGGTCACACTATAATCTAGAGAGTTACACAGCCCTTTTTAAACATAAGAATTATCAGATATCTACTTTTATTTCTACCTTTATTTCAAAACTTACAACTATTACACTTTTGCAGTTAAAATACATTTCGTCAATTATCATATAAACAAAAGGAAGTAACTACGAGGCTGGCATCCCGCTCTCACCCTTTCACTGTCAAAACTCCTAAATGTAGCCGTTTCTTCTACTCCAATAGCTTCATGTCTCACACCTCTCGCCTGTGGAACTCCCTTCCCTATTCCAGTTTCCTTGAGAGCTATAATTTCGAGCTATTCAAATGTAATGTCAATCGACATCTCCAGTTGCCTTGATCTATCCACTACCCTTCTCCTCATCCTTTCTTCTATCCCTCCTATCTGATCTTGCTCCAAATTTTTCTGTAACCCCTTGCATTCTAGTGGCTTCTCGCCTTGCTTGGGGTGTAAAAAAAAAAAAAAAAAAAAACTGTTGTACTACTATTTTTATATTTACCACATATTATTTTTATATCGAGTCAACTCAACAAAAAAAAGAAAGAACTACAAAAGAAAATGTTTTGGTACATTTAGAAAAAATGTTTATCTATTTATATATCAAGTTAAAGTTTTAAAATTCATTCAGAACTGAATCCACAGATTTAGTGTTTATGGGTATCATTTCCGATTTCTCAGGAATCATGATGACAAGGTTGTGTTGTTTTACATTTATGTCGAACGAATAAGTCGCCCCCCCCCAATATTTTGTGAAATTTTTGATAAAAATGTGAGACCTATCCACGAGTATATACAGTAGGTTTTGTTCCATTATGAAATTGTTAAAATGGTCTTAAATGAAAAACAGATATTTGCAGACATTTATTGAATCTTCTACAATTACTCAAGAACATTGTCAGCCCATTCTTTACACAAGAACACTGTCAGCACAGTTTACTTTGTATATCAACAGCCTAAAAACTGTAGAGTTGAATAATGAAAGTATTTAAGATAATGTCCAACATTCTCCAACTACATAAGAAAAAGAATACAAGATAAAAAAAAAGTATTTTTTAAATATCTGATCTTCAGTCAAACTGATAACAAAATAAATCTGTAACCAAAATTTATTTGTTGTATTCAACAAAATATGACAGCAATCTATATAGCCTTTTGACAAGAAACAATATCCACTGATCCCACACAAGAAAGTAACAAAGTATATATATATATATATATATATATATATATATATATGGTGGACATATTCGATATATGAGGGTCAAGCAGTTCAGTTCCTAGGAACTGACAGCCAGACACCAGCACCTCTGATTTGATTATAGTGGTGAAGGTTTTGTGCAGAACCAACCACACTTTTTGAAGGGCCGAATACAGAGACCTGGTGCACTACGAGCCACAGGGTCCCCCAGACAACCCTCAGCAGGTTTTGAATACAGAGTTGTCATTCTCTTTGAGCAGTTGTCATCCAAGGCCATAGAGCCCAGTCTGCCTGCTATTTACCCATAGCTGTAAGGAGAAGAAGAGGATTAATACCTTTTCCAAGAGTATTAGCACGTAAGTGAATGTAATGGATTCGACTGGAATTTGAACACGGCTCTCCGTTTCTCAATACGAGCCGCTATCCACCATATATTAATATATACATATTAATCATTTCCCTCCAAGAAAGATGGTAATGTCACTAAGACAAAAGAAGTTGTTGAGAGTGGAAGAAACTGAGAAAATTTTATTAAGGAGAAAAGACAATAAAAGAATAGAATTCAAAAAGACAAGATGACAGTTGACATTGCATTTACATTTTTGAGGATCATAGTTGACAGGAAATCAAGAAGCCATAAAAAAGTACTACAAGTGAGATGTGCGGCAGAAGAAATTGTTAGCATACATATTCTGGCTACATCTAGCCATTTCAACAGTAAAATGGTGAGACCTTGCTGCCAATCTTGTACTCCACTTAAATTCATGAAGTTGAGTTATTAGAGAGCAGAACAATTACCATGAAAATATTTATAAAAAATGTACAAGAAACTTTATAGAAGAATGTTATAGCAGTGGTGGGAAAAGTGACTGAAGCCAGGATGCCAAGTTAGGACCAATAACTTTGCAGATTCTTCTTTGTTTTATCAAGAATCTCTAAATAGAAAGCAGAAGTGCCAGGCCAGATATGACAACAATATTTAATGCATGGATGAATGGTTGACTCATAAATATGTAAGATAGATTCTGGTGAGAAAAAATTGTCTAGCATGAAATTGTGAACCAACTATAATCTTTCAACTTCATACGAGCAGAAAAAGTTAGCCCAAGAAGATGCAATGAGTCACGCTCCTGGAGGTTAGCATCAGCCACGCTGATGGAAAGTAAAAAAGGTTTTTTAAGACAATTAAAAGAGAGCTATTTCATTTTAGAGTCATTAAATTTAACAAGCCATTCTGATCATTAAATTTAACAAGCCTATCTGATCTTGCTCCAAATTTTTCTGTAACCCCTTGCGTCCTAGTGGCTTCTCACCTTGCTTGGGGTGAAACGCTTAAAAAAAAACAAAAAAAAAACTGTTGTACTACTATTTTTATATTTACCACATATTATTTTTATATCGAGTCAACTTTTTACACAGTTAACAACAGATTACAGACATTTTTTTAGATCAGCTGCCAATTTGACGTTATTGAATTGATTATAGTTATTGAGGCAGGGGTAAATAGTGATGTCATCAGCATAGATACAAAGCAAGGTATTAATGACATCAAGAAGGACGTTGATGAAAAGCCCATATTAATGGAAAAAATTCTAGAAGAGTGGCTGTTCAAGAAAACTTTCATTTCACAATTTGATGAGAAAAACAGAACTTTGTCCAGAAATACCATAATCTTTCAACATGTGAAGAAGACCAGAATGTCAAACACTGTCAAATGCTTTCGAGATATCGAAAGCAACACACTTCACCATTCTTATCTATAGTTTGATAGATTCTTTCAACAATAACCATTAATAAATCAGCAGTTAACCTAGAGAAACAAAAAACCATATTGCTTATCTAAAAGAAAACCCTGTGAGGTGAGATGCTTAACCAATTTGGAGTTGATTAGAGCCTTTAGTACTTTGCCAAAAAGAGGTAGTAGGCTAATAGGCCGGTAGTTGGAAGGATCAAATGATTAACCTGAATTTTTAGACTGGAACTACAGAATATTTCCAACAAGTAGAAAGGCAACTGTAGCTGTCATAAGAAGATTATTTTAATTTTTAAAGGGAAAAAGACCAAGAATTCTATCACTATCCATTATCTATGTAGTACAAACCAACTAGAAGGTGTCTAAGACTAAAGTACAATGTGGCCTGAAGTTTACTCCCCAGAAGTAAATATAAAAATAAATGTTTTGGGGGTACGACAGATTAACAATGACATATAAGAAGTGTTATGTTTAAAGAAGAAATTGTTCTACCTTTGCACTTGGTACAAGTTCTGCATAAATACCTGGCATGCCTGCATGCCATCAGTGTCATTGCATTTTCGAAGAATCAGCTTCAGTTTTATAGTCATTGCTTTTAGCTGTGTCTGATGCACAAGTCCCAACTCTGTGGCTCCAACACCAAGGAATAAATGCTGCAGTTTTTCTATAAGTTTTTCAATCTAACAAAAAAGACAATACAAATTACATTGGGTTTAATGCAAAAAAAATTATAACTAAGGATGTTTTTTTTTCATGCATGTGTTTTTTTTTATCTGTACATGTCTACATTAAAAGGTAAAAAAATACTAAATCTGTGCATTTTTCTACTTTTTGGTACTTTTTCATTTTTTTGTACTTTTTGGTACTTTTACATTGTCCAATATTTTTAGTACTCTTGCACTTTTTACTAGTTTTTTGTTACTATTATATATTCCAACTTTTTTGACACTGTTCACTCACAAAATTGAAATCTGCTTATTTTACTCAAATCAAAAAAAAATGTCTTTTCTCCTCACAAAATACAGAGTATGGTGTTTTTATTTTTAAATCACTAAGAAAATGTATTTTGCACCAAGATTTTAAGATAAAAAATAAAAATTCTCCCTCATTTATTCTTTAATTGGCTTTCAAAATGAAAGTCTATTTTGTCATGTCCTTGCTATTATATAGTTTTCATAAGTCTTTAAATCATTTTTCTAATTTTGAGCTTTCTAGATTTCAAAGATGATCCTTTCTTTACATTATTTATTCAGTTTGCCATTGTTATAACAAAGACAGTATCAACTGGCATCACCAGTGCATGAAGATGACTATCTCTTTTGCAACATCAAACATTATAGACATCAAGGAGAAAAAATATACAAATACCATTAACATATTGTAAGACTAATCCATTGTTTTCTATGTTTAATTAGTTGTTAAAAGAAATCTAGATCAAACAAAATAAATATTAATGATTCATAAATTTTAAATTTATTCTAAATTAAGAGAACAGAGAATAAACTAATCCAGTTGTGATGAAATTTTTTTTCGGTTAATTTTATCTTATATTGTAAAAGTACAGTATTAGTGTTGTCCCTCATGCACAATAGATGATATAAATAAATAAATAAGGCCTTCTACCTCTACCACTGACACCAGCCAATGGAGTCAATACCAACTACTTTGGAAACTGGTGATCTAATCATTTTAGAAATGTTACTGTATACATGATTTGGTAAATATGATATACCAACTCTAGATATCAGAAAACTTAATGACAAAGTGGGAAAAATTCTATGTAACTTGTTTCACCTTTCAAAAGGACTTCTTCAGACCAAATAATGATCATATATATGTAGGGTAAAGGAACAAAATACAAACAAACATTGGCTATAATTATGTATTGAGAGAAATGCAGAAATGATTAAGTTCACACAATTTACATTGCTCAGACAGTTGTCCTCATCTTTACTGTCACATTCAAGTCATTTTGGCCATTGTACACTCCAGCTTTCATCATGTAATATTTGTTGGAATTTTTAACCAAACTCTTATTTAGTCCATGAAGGTAGATTGCCCAAATTCCACGTGCCATGCCTCTGGATATCTCAGTTTTAAGTTAATTAACCTTGATAACTCTCCAAGTTTTAGTTCTCTCCACTAAGGTCAGAGATTGAACACACAACTGTTTGGGTTGTCACATACATTAGGTCTATAAGCAGGTTTAAAATTGAGGGCCTGTGGGAAGGTGAATTGATGCAGAACGTCACCATTACTCGTGATCACACCAAACACCTTTGTAATCAGCATTAGGTTCGTCCAACTCTTTTTAAATCCTCTGCACTGTCCTAAGACTGACACCCAAACACTCTCTGATATGTTCGTACTGAAGCTTCTAGCACGAATGCCAAGCAGTACAGCATGCTGTCTCCAAATTTCTGGCCAAGTGAATTGCATCATGGTGCTCTTTTTCTCACAGACAGTGCTCAACTGACCTTACTACTCTGTGCAATCAACAAAATCAAAAACAATCAACGAACATGCTCAAAATTAGAAGTATAAAATGGTGACAACACTGTGTGTGTGTGTGTGTGTGTGTATATATATATATATATATATATATATATATATATATATTTTTTCTTCTAAAAGAACTCTTCACAAGTTCATAACTTAGTTCCCCCACCCCCCGGAGTGTTAATCATGCTAACCATAAGGTATCAAACTCTGTGTTACTCACTTCACAAGTAAAAATTCTAACTTTCAGATGCACACAGTAACTTTGTCTTTGTAATGAACACTATTTTTTTGTCTTAAAAACAACACCCTGATGATGACATTGTGCTCATGTCGAAAGTACTCAGAATAAAAACAACATGTATCAACAAGGTAATTTTCTCTTTTCTTTTAATAACACCACCAAAAGGTATGTTCGTGAATATGAAAGGATCCTGTTGAAAATAAGTAGACAAAACTTGTCTAAATTATTCAATGAAACATATCTCAGTGAAAACATGCTGCCAAAATATACACTATATATATATATATATATACACAGACACACTGTATATATGATTATAGCAAAGAGCTTTCAAAACGAAAACTTACCTTGTCAAGAGAAGACCTGACATTTTCAGATGTAGACATGTCAGCTAAAAACCCAGATGTCATGGAGACAGTCTAAAAGGGAAAAATAAATTATTCCAATTGCAAAAGAGTTCTTTTCATTTGTCCATTACAAACTGCTTCTTATATACACTCAATTTTATATTCTTACAAAATGTTTTTTTATG